AGTCTGTCCTGTCAAACACTCCCAGGGAAGGTACAGCATAGGGTTAAGTATAGAATAAAGCTCCCTTCTATACTGTCCTGTTTATGTACTAAGGACCTAACTCAGAAGACCAACTTACCTTTAGGATGACTCTTTTCCTGCTTGTTATAATAGCTCTGCACTGTTTGACAACTCTTAATTGACAATTGGTTTTGAAATGGAGAGAGGTTTGCATTGTAGGCTGTTGGAACTGTGGGGAAATTCTCAGCTGTATATTCTAGGTTCCGGAGGATGGAGAATGTTACTGACCGGTGTATAACCTATGTAGTCCAGGTTGACTTGCAGATTCCAGCACTTATAATTTTTCTGATACTATAGACTACATGCTTTGCATAAATCAGTACAGGAAAAGCAGTAATAAATAATATGAGCTTCAGGTTAGATCATCAGGATACTGATTATGCCCATTTATCTGTGTATAAAAATGGTATTTTTTGCCATTTTGTTTTTCTAGGACTGGAAGGACCATCAGCACGTGTGTGGGCAACCAACAACACTCACTGTACAGGCAGAGGAGGTGCAGGTGACAGAGGTCGATGTAGAGAAAGTCAAAGTTTGAGTGTCCTATACAGTATAAGAATTCAGCATGTTGACTCAAGTGACTGAGGTAGTGGCAACAAATATCTAGGTTGCAAGGACATAGTGTTCTTAACCTGAAGGCCAGACTTTTTATTGTTTGGATACATTGTATTCTAAGGGAAAGCTGATACCTGCACATGAGGTAGTGACGAGTACCTAGGGAGGCAGATTTGAGGTTACTTCAATATCTCACAGACTAACTTTTCATTAGACTGCAGAAAACGCCCTGTGGAAATTTTGCAAAATGTGCAACAGTCAGATCCTTGACTTGTAACTCAGCCATTGCTGCCTGTCCTTGATTTGCTTTTTCTGTTTGGCCTTACGCAGAGTCTGAGTTACTGGTCATTGTGCCTACTCTTACCTGCAACCTGCTTCACTCACTCATGCTCTCAGAAACCGTCTCTAAATGCAGTCGTGCCCTCCCACACACCATCATCTGGTTGAACTGAAGTAGCCAGAAGAAGGAGAGTAACCTTATTTAGATGAAGGCTGGTTTGGGGATTGGAAGGAGGAGTAGGCCTCTGGTTAATCATTTTTTTTAAAAATTAATTTCAAGGCATCTGGTTGGCAAATTTCACTGCTAAGGAAATTAAGTTGCTATCAAGGTTATACCTGATGAGCTCTGGTTCATACCTTTGTCTCAGCCATTGAGGGCTACAATGTCCCATTATCACTTTCTGATCTTTAATTTAAAGATTGACCAAACTGTATCCCAGTCTGATAGTTTGCCTCTGGAAAGCTTTGTGGCAGGGAAAAGGCATGTCCTTGATGCATTGATTGATGGTGAACTTCTGGTTTTGAGGTAGCAGTGTTCCCTTGTACATAAAGCAGTTTTCAGACAACATAAATTAATGGAAATCACAAGGATGTGTAGCCAGGTTGGCCATAGTTTTGTAACAGGCCAGTTGTTAATGAGGTTACACCATCACTGTGATCTTGGATTGTAGAGATGACAGATTGTATCTCAAATATAGTATTGCAACATTTTCAATGTTACCTGTTTTGTTAATAGAATGATTTGAATTTTGCAGTAAGCTATATTATTAATTCAAATGATTGCTAATGGCTAAGCAAATCAAGTAATAAAGAAACACTGTAAGTTAGTGGCACAAAATATATCATAACTGGGCAGAAACTGTAATCATATGGGGGCTCTGACAAAGTTGAATGAAATCAAGAGCAGTTTTCATGGGACGTTAATCACTGTTGATTAAATGTTTGCTGTATCTACCATGTTGCATTTGGAACAATTACAAAAATGCTTGTATGCTTGTGTGGATTAATCTTGGTAGTCCAGACATTAACTGCATTGTCATTTTTCTTAAACTTGGAAACTGTGTTTCTGAATTGCTCCTTGCGAGGAGCTGCAAAATTCTCAATGAATGGAATGTCTCTAAGAGATTAAAGCAGAATTTCTTCTTTCTGGGAGAGTGAACCTTTTTGCCATTGGAAATGAGTGCTTGTAAATAGAGGTGTAAGTTGCTGTGAGGGGTTTGTGCACTTGGGGGGAAAATGGGGATAATTGTAACAATATCCTTCACGCCAAGTGTTAGTTTTGATAAAATGGGCATATTTGATGTACTTTATACAATTTCCAACTATGCCATTATCAAGTTATTCTTGTATTTTGTAAGTTTTGTGTATTTTTAATTTTGACAAAGCATGCTTGTTTATGTGTTCAATAAACAATGATAGTATTTTATAGAAACTTTCTTAGTGTCAAATATTTTCTCCCCTGATTATCAAGAAGTTGCTTCCAGCATCTGGTGCTGTGTCTTGTGGTGGTGGTGGTGGTGGGGGTTGGCGGGGAGAGGGGAGTGAATCTTGTGAAATGAGTATGCTTGCTGAATCAGAAGTCATGAATTATGTATCCAAGGTACTTGCCCTTGGAATTCCAGGTCACAGAACAATCCCAAATGATTTGTTCTGGAGTCCTGGGCTCTGTCCCATTAGGATTTATTGGGCTGTAGCATAGAATAATTAGAATTAAACAGGAGCTTTAAAAAAGCACACAAATAATGATCACAGACTGCATTGACCAAGCATAGAGTCCCTTGTGTATGAAAAATTAAAGAGTGATCTAATTGAGGCATTTAAGATGTTGATCTGGTAATACAAGGAAACTGCTTTCTCTGGCTCGAGTCCAGAACAGGGCAAAATCTTAAAATTAGAGACAGGTTATTTGTGTGATATTAGGCAACACTTATTCACACAAAGGGTGGTGAAACTCTGCAATTCTCTTCTCGAAAAATTTATGGATGGTGGGGTCAATTGAAAATTTCAAAGCTTAGAATGATAGATTTTTGTTGGATGTGTATTAAGGCTTACTCAACCAAGGTCAGTGGATGGAGTTGAGATACAAATCAGACAGGACTGAACTGAATGGCTTCCTCCAGTTTCCGCGTGTGCAATCTTTGATAAAGTTCTCTAAAATTATCAAGAGGTTTGATGGAGTGGAATATTTCCATTTGTTGGCAAAACTAAAATGAAGGATCTTAAATATGAGACCACAAGGTGCAGGGCTGGATGAACACAGCAGGCCGAGCAGCATCACAGGAGCAGAAAGGCTGACGTTTCGGGCCTAGACCCTTCATCAGAAAAGGGGGAGGGGAAGGGGGTTCTGAAATAAATAGGGAGAGAGTGGGAGGCGGAAAGAAGATGGATAGAGGAGAGGATAGGTGGAGAGGAAACATACAGGTTGAAGAGGCGGGGATGGAGCCAGTAAAGGTGAGTGTAGGTGGGGAGTTAGGGAGGGAATAGGTCAGTCCAGGGAGGACGGACAGGTCAAGGGGGCGGGATGAGGTTAGTCGGTAGGAGATGGGCGTGCGGCTTGAGGTGGGAGGAGGGGAGAGGTGGGAGGAAGAACAGGTTAGGGAGGCGGGGATGAGGGCTGGTTTTGGGATGTGGTAGGGGGAGGGGAGATTTTGAAGCTTGTGAAGTCCACATTGATACCATTGGGCTGCAGGGTTCCCAAGCGGAATATGAGTTGCTGTTCCTGCAACCTTCGGGTGGCATCGTTGTGGCACTGCAGGAGGCCCAGGATGGACATGTCGTCTGAGGAATGGGAGGGGGAGTTGAAATGGTTCGCGACTGGGAGGTGCAGTTGTTTATTGCGAACCGAGCGTAGGTGTTCTGCAAAGCGGTCCCAAAGCCTCCGCTTGGTTTCCCCAATGTAGAGGAGGCCACAGCGGATGCAGTATACCACATTAGCAGATGTGCAGTACTATCTCTGATCTTAAATATGACATGGTCATCACTCATAAATCTAATAGGGAATTCAGGAGATAGTGTTGAGAGTGTAGAATTCAGTATTGTAGGGAATAGTTTAGATGAATACCCAAGATGCATTTAAGGGGACCTGGATAAACCCATGAAGAAAGGAACAAAAGGAATATGCTGATCAAGTGAGAAGAAGAAAGCTGGGAGGGGGCTTGTGAAGAGCATAAACATTGGAATGGACCATTTGGACCAAGCGACCTGTGGCTCAACTAAAAATACGAGGTAAACATCATGTTCTGATAATTGTTCATGATGAGTTATGCTCATTATACGCTTTCTTTTAAAAAAAAGTCAACTGTGTCTTTTTTAGGGAGATCCACCAAGTTTTCCTGGGTCTGCTCATTTTCTGTTGGTGTAAAACAGATAAATTTGGTGTAAGCATCTGAATTGCTTAGAAATGCAGAGAGATGAACTTGCTGTCTGCATAGCATACTAAGCATCGCTTGTTTTCCAATAACTCCTCTGCACACAACAGAGAAATGTTTATTAAGACAACATTTACAGAATTATTATTAATCATACATTTTCTGAACCCAGAGGGCAGTGGGACTTGGCACCCGGCAATGTAGAACTGATTTGGACTGCTATTCCTTCTTGGAGATTGAAGGCAAAACATATAGATCCTTGCATGTGTGTGCTACTCAAAGCACCAATAAATGTAATTTGTGGTACCTGAATTAAAGTCCAACTGGTTTAGTCCTGTATTGCATAATACTGCCAGCTAAAAGTTCAATGACCTCACCAGGCCTGACCTACTACATATCTAACCTTCCTTGCCCACCTGGGCAGCAACACAATCTTCAACCTTCCTTTTTAGCGACAGCAAATGACTTCATTTACAATGTGGTAGCAGCTCCGGACAAATGAGACAGACTGTTTTAGAGCTGTGCGTGATCACAGATTCTTGATAGTCATCAAGAAAGCTAGAGTCGGTATAAAAATTAAAGGTCAAATTTGAAACTGTCAATCAAAATAGCTGTTTCATGCCTTTCACTGTATTTTACATGAAGTGTTTATTTAAATTTACAAAATAAATGATTTTACAAATGATCAACAAAGCAAAATTGAACACCAACATTTCAATGTTAATGTGACCATCCGTGTCATCAACACTTGTCAGGGCCCATTAGACATATCACACTGTCATGAGCGATGGTCGCCTGTGTCAACTACAGTAAGTATGATCAACCAGCAATGCAGTGGTGAAGTAATTATGTGAAAAATTTTTTGCATCATCTGTTAAGCTCCAAATGGAATGGAAAATCTGCCTGCAACACTTTGATTTCATTGGGTGAGCATTACGAGGACCTGTTACATCTTGCTGATCAATACCATGAAAACCATCAGACCTTTTGGGTGAGCTGTAACTTAATGAGCAGACTTCTTACCTCTCAGTCAGGAGGTTGTGGATTCGAGTCGGTCCAAAGACTTGGATCCCATAACCCAGGCAGAAACTCCTAGGGTAGTACTGAGGGAGTGCTACACAGTTGGAGACAGTGCTGAGAGAGGGTTGCATTTCAGAGATGGCAGAACAGAGGAATACTGCACTGTCAGTGGTGTTGTCTTCCAGGTGAGACAACAAACTGAGTTCTTGTCAGTGCTTTCAGTTGGAACCAAAAGACTCCATGACCACTGGTAAAGAGTCAATATTTCTTCCACAATTACAGGCTTTAAAACAGATTATCTGGTGATTATAACATTGCTGTTTGTAGGAGCTTGCTGAGCGCAAACAAATTGCCATATGTCCTACATCTGAACAGTGAAGATGCTTCAAAAGCATTTCATTATGAAGGGCTTTAGGGCATCCTGAGATTATAAAAGTTGCTACATAGATAGAAGTTTTTGCAAATTAGCACATTTTAAACAGAACTTCCAATTCCACTTAGTTTCCTGCATGGATTGCATCTAGGTGTTGGTCATGGTGATTAATTGACCTGTTGGGACTGATTCATTTTCCTTCCGTTAATCTCCAAATGTGGAGGTTCCTGACAGTTATGGTTAGGAGAAAATAGAATGTCACAGCAGGAAATAACTTTAATCATCTATATAAAACAAGGAACTAGCATTATTATGTATATATCACTTCTACAATAGAGTTTCATGTCAGCAACAGGGGTGCAGCACCTTTCTGAAGAAGTTCCTGAATTCCATGTTGAAGATGGTGTAAATGATTGGATTAACAGCACTGTTGACATATCCGAGCCATGTTACGATGTTGAGGAGATGAGGTGAAATGTGGCAGGTTTCACAAGTTACTCTTGTTATATGGACCACAAAAAATGGAGTCCAACAAAAGAGAAAAGCACCTGAAATGAGAAGGAGAATCACTGAAGACAAGGAAAGAAATGTGCTAGTTGGTATTGTGTTTTTGGGAGCGTAGGCAAATCACCCTTGCCATTGCTGACAGTAAATTGAGTATGTGATTAGCAAAGGCAGGAATATCAGATTAGGATAAGACTTTCCAATGTATGTATTGGGACCCCCAAATGCAAACTGATATTTTGGGTTTGTGAATTCTGAGGCAGCAATGACCATTCCCATATCACACTCCAAGGTCTTTTCCTCCTGCCCTCACCACCCGCTGAGGGGTCACAACAATTTTCAAGCCTCACCATGGGATTGCAGTGGGTAAAAGTTTGGGAAGCACTGGATTAGGGATAACCAATGGATTATTGTGCTGCATATTGTCCCTGTTTATAAACTAAATTGTAAATGTTTCCCTGTTATTTTCTCGAAGAGGCTGAAGGTTAGAACAACTCATGTTAAAGGTGGAGTTTCAAAGAACTTGTGGAACTCCATTATGATCCTCACATTTCACAAACTCGTTAATCTTGTTTGCATTCAGTGGGTGACTTTATTGGAACTCACTCTCTGGGAGGCTGTTGGAAGTGGAGAAGATTAACGATTTCAGAAGTAAATTGGATAGGACACATCAAGGAAATAAACGTGGAAAACTATGGAGATAGAGCAGAAGGCCCTTATGCCATGGTGGTAATGTCCCTACCTGTGGGCTCTTGAGGCTTGGGTTCAAGTCCCACCTGTTTCAGAGTTGTGTAACTCTGCAACATTCACTGCATTATGTTTCTACATCTGAGTATAAATACATATCAAGAAAGGGAAAAGGGCCCTGTGGAACTCACTAATAAAAGATTTTTAGTCACAAAATCACCCCTCAACCGTTCCACTTTCCTTGCTGTCACAGTAGTTTTGGATTCAACTTAACATTTTTTAAGATTCAGTTGCAGGATGTGGGCATTGCTGGCTGGCCAGCATTTCTTGCCTGTCCCCAGTTGCCCTTGCGAAGGTGATGGTGAACTGCTGCAGTCCACCATTAGTCCTTGGGTTCCATAAGCATTTAATTTTCTGATTAATCTGTCACGTGGAACCTTATCATCAAAAACCGGGCTAAAATCTGTGTGGACTGCATCAAATAAGCTGCCATTCCTTTAGAAGTTAATTCCTCAAAAAATTCAATGGCGTTAGATACAAAGTTACCATAACTAATATGCACTGATTATTCTGAATTAACCCATGTTCTCTAAATGACAATTTGTACACTCAGAATTTTTTCAAATAATTTGCCTGACACTGGGGTAAGGCTGATTGGTCTCTAATCATACCTCTATCATTATTCTCCCTTTAAAACTATGTGCTCCAATTGTCAAGCACCACAGCTGTGTGAAAATTCTGTAACCAGGGATCCTGATCAATTCCCTGCTATTTTTAGGTGTTTGATATTCCAAACGTTGTAACCTTGTGTAATCCAGTGGATTTGCAGGAAAACATATTCATTGCCGAATTTATCTTGAGTCCAGTCCAAAAATTCGTGGTTTTAATTTTCATTTTGAAAAATTGGCAGAGTGTATTGTCATGATTGGAATACACAGAAACATAGAACATTAAACCACAGAAAGAAACAATTTAGTCCATTGTGGTTGTGCCACATATTTGAAAGTTATCCAGTTAATCCCACTAAATCCCAGTTCTTTCCCTGTAAACCAGTCATGTTTCCCTTGCAAGAATTTGTCCAATTCCTTTTTGAAAGTTATATTGAATCTCCAATATCCTTCTAAGCATATTTGGGATCACAGCAACTCTGAGTGAAGGAAAAGCGTTCCTCATCTCCTATCAAGTGTTAGTTGCTAACATTTGGAGAATGTGTGATTCATGATCAAACTGTGAGATATTCATTCCCACCTTCTCAATTTCAGACAGGTTGCAACAATGTGTCTGCTCAGTACACTTCCATTTGTAAATTCAGTTAATCAAATCCAGGCTAGTTTTCTTTGTCATTGACTCGGGATCAAACCTGATACAGTTGATTAAATGAACATGTAGCAGATTGAGGAGAAACTCTGGCCCAGTTTCTGCTTCTTATCCTTTAAGTCAAAGACTTTAAAGAGATATAGTGAGAAACATATCAATTAGAGCAGAGAAAATTAAAAGAAGACATTAATAGATGTTCAAAATAGAGGTTGGGGATCTTTTGACTGGGCACCTTTCAGCCTACTGGACTCAATACTGAATTCAGCAATTTTAGATCATAATTTGGTTTGTATTCTTTTGATGGTTGACTTTATTCTGTTCCTTAATCTCCCTACTTTGTATTCAAACAGTGACTATCCTGCCTGTCATACCTCCACACAACCATTCAGACACATTTTGTTCTTGACTTGCCCCTTTACCACTCACTTGGTTCGTATGATGGTCATAGACAAGAAGTAAAGTGGACTGAAGGGAAAAAAGGATCAGAACTCTCTAGACTCCTTTCAACTGCTAGGTTTTCTGATACCTGGAAAACTCGACTCCCTCAATAAGGATAAGAGGCAGGAACTGGGCCAGAGTTTCTCCTCAATCTGCTGCTTGTTCATTTCATCAATCATATGAGGTTCAATCCCAATTCAATGACAAATTAAACTAGCCTGGATTTGATTAACTGAATTTACAGATGAAAATGTACTGACCAGACACAATTTTTGGTTTAAAATGGAGATGAAATATAAACATGAGACATGAAGTCTCATTAACATATTTGTAAGAGCAATCTACCTCCCCATCCAACTTCTCATAAAATTGAAACTAATATCCCACAGAATCCAAACTACCGTTTTTGAGAGATTAAAATTACTTACAATACATCTAGATTTTGCAATTCATTTTTCAGGGGATAATAATGGGTTAAATTTGAAAAATTAGAATGCTTCAATATGATCCCTCTCTGAATGACAATTTTGAAATAGTATAGCACAGCAGGGAGGCTATTTGGCCCTCTGCCTGTAATGACTCTTTGTAAGAGCTATTCAATTAGTCCCGCTTGTATATACTTTCCCCCGCAGTCCAACAAGTTCATTTTAATTTTGCCTCTACTGCTCTTTCAGGCAGCACATTCCAGATCATAACACTTTGTTATGTGAAAATGTTTCATTATGTTCCTCTAGATCCTTTGCCAGTCGTTTTGAATTTATATCCTCTGCTTGTTGATCCTCCTGCTACTGGGAACAATTTCTCCTTATGCATTTTATCAAGGACCTTCATTATTTTGAAGACATCTATTAAATCTCTCCTTAATCTTCCCTGTTATAAAGATTTTCCCAATAAATGAAGTCCGCCATTCCGGGACCCATTCTAATAAATCTCTTCACCACCGATTCCAAAGCCATTGATATCCTTCCTAAAGTGTGACCTTAGAATTGAACACAATACTCCAACTGAGGTCTAATCAATTTTTATAAAGTTTCATTATCTTCCTCACTTTTGTACTCAATGCTTTGGCTTAGAAAGTCAACAAGTTCAACAGCTTTCAAAAAGGCATGTGCATTAACCCCAAGCCTCTCTTTTCCTCCAACCACTTTAAAATGTTGCCATTAGTTTATAATCCATCTCCTCATTCTTCTTTCCAAAAGGTGTCGCTTCAAATTTCTCTATTTCACCTGTCATGTATCTATCCATTTCACCAACCTGTCTACCCTTCTGTAGCCTGTAACTATCTTCCTCTGTTTCTGACATTTCTGGCTTTTGAGTTCAAACTTTGAACTTAGGCCTGTATACGCAACTTCAGGTTATAATTATGTAATCCGAAAGTAGTGGTCCCAATACTGATCCCTATCAAATGCCACTGTGTACTTCCTTCAAGTCCAAACAATGACTGTTCACCACTATTTTCTGCTTTCTGTCTCAATTTTGTGTCCACATTGCCAGTGTTTCTTCAATCTCAAAGATTTTAATTTAGCTAACACATCTATTACATTGTACTTTGTCAAACACCATTTGAAAATCCATATACACATTACGCACACCAAACAAAAAAAAGACAAAGAACTGTGGTTGCTGGAAATCTGAACAAAAACAAGTTGCTGGAATAACACAGCAGTCTGGTGGCATCTGTGGAGAGAAAGCAGAGTTAATGTTTCAGGTCCAGTGACCCTTCTTCAGAACTCAACCACACTATCCTCATGCACTCTCCCTATTACATTATCAAAAGGTTCAATCGAGTTAATCAGGCATTGCTTTTTGTTACTATTATCTATTAATCCTGTAATCTTTAACCCCTAAGCAGCACTTCAGTATAAAAATAGGGAACATAATATTCCAAAATAATCATGCTCCTCCTACCTTTGTGGATATGAATCTGGAGTACTACATTAACTCATAAATGAGTGGGTGGGGAAGCAGATTTAAGGAAAAATCAGCCTCATTGAGACAACTCAAAAGTCTTCTTCTAATTGTGGTAAGATGAATAAGGAACAAATCTGTCCTGAGATTATACCTAATATTGGAGATCCTCATCATTACAGAGGTTGGGATTTACCAAAATGTCACAGCATTTTCTAAAACCAGTATTAATGGAATGATTTAAGTTTGATGTCTATAGATTAGAAGCTATAACAATGTATGAAGAGGGATTGATACAAAATTGTAGGGATTACAAAACAAGTAATACTACATGGGAGGTTTTAAATGGCATTTATAAAATAAATTGTACAAGTAGAAAAATCTAATGCAATGTAAGAGACGTTAAGTCACTGTGGCCTCAATTTATAAAACACATTTTCCACAAAACATTAAAGATTCAAAGTGTCATGGAGTGTGGCATACATTACCTGCTCTGACGTCTTCTTGTTGGAATCCCAGTCTCAGCCTCTGAGTGTTTGAGAGGCAATATTGGACCTTTGACTTCCAGGAACACAGCTCAGATTTGTAAAGGATGAACATGATTGAATTTTTTGGAAGAGATTACTAAACTAACAGATAGGGAAATGTCTTTACATATTATTTCAGTCAATTTCCAGAATGTATTTGATAAAGT